GGGCCACATTTTCAGCAGGGGCAAGAGCACGACGAGGAGGAGGACGAGCAAGACCAGGAGGACGAGGACGAGCAGGAGCAGGACGAGGAGCAGGAGGAGCAGGAGAAGAAGGACGAGCAGGAGGAGGAGGAGGAGGACGAGCAGGAGGAGGACGACCAGGAGGAGGAGGACGACCAGGAAGAGGAGGAGGAGGAGGAGGAGGGGAGGGGGAGGAGTACCAGGAGGAGGAGGAGGAGGAGGAGGAGGAGGAGGAGGAGGAGGAGGAGGAGGAGACGAGGACGAGGAGGGAGGAGGAGGAGGGGGGGGGAGAGTACCAGGAGGAGGAGAACGAGGACCACCAGGAGGAGGAGGAGGAGGAGGAGGAGGAGGAGGAGGAGGAGGAGGAGGAGGAGGAGGAGGAGGAGGAGGAGGAGAGAACACCAGGAGGAGGAGGACGAGCAAGACGAGGAGGACGAGAACGAGGACGACCAGGGAGGAGGAGGAGGAGGAGGAGGAGGAGGGGAGGGGGAGGACTACCAGGAGGAGGAGGAGGAGGAGGAGGAGGAGGAGGAGGAGGAGGAGGAGGAGGAGGAGGACGAGGAGGAGGAGGGGGGGGGAGAGCACCAGGAGGAGGAGAACGAGGACCACCAGGAGGAGGAGGAGGAGGAGGAGGAGGAGGAGGAGGAGGAGGAGGAGGAGGAGAGAGCACCAAGAGGAGGAGGACGAGCAAGACGAGGAGGACGAGAACGAGGACGAGCAGGAGGAAGAGGAGGAGGAGGAGGAGGAGGAGGAGGAGGAGGAGCAGGAGAAAGAGGAGGAGGAGGAGGAGGAGGCAGGCTGAGGCTGAGGCTGTGACTGCGACTGCCGTTGCCGCTGCGACTGTCATCGCGAATGCGACTACGACTGCGAGAACAGCAGAATTCGACAACTGGATTTTCATCTGAATCTTAAGGGGAGTGCTTTCAGATATGCTTCTACACATCGCTGTTAGGTTGCTTTGCCGGGATAATGTTTTTGGACCCTGACCCGCGGATCTGCGTGAGGGGTGGCACCGAATTTCAGAAATGTAGCAAATCCCGTGTGTTTTTGGACCCTGACCCCGCGGATCTGCGTGAGGGGTGGCACCGAATTTCAGAAATGTGGCAAATCCCTTGTGTTTTTGGACCCTGACCCTGCGGATCTGCGTGAGGGGTGGCACGGAATTTCAGAAATGTGGCAAATCCCTTGTGTTTTTACCTAACAGCTTTTGCTGATAGGTTTCTAGTGGTTTCAAAAGAGAGCAGCAGATGACTCCACAGGGGGGTCGGGGCGGCTGCTGGGGAGCTGTGTCCGAACTCGTGTCCGAATGCGCTTTTCGCAAACAGTCACACACTTCGTGCTCTTCGACCTCCCAGAACTCCATTCCCGGGCCACATTCTGAATGCCTGGAGCCAACTGTAGGCCACTTCGTGCTCTTCGAATTCCCAGAACTCCATTCCCGGGCCACATTTTGGATGCCCGGAGCCAACTGTAGGCCACTTCGTGCTCTTCGACTTCCCAGAACTCCATTCCCGGGCCACATTTTGGATGCCCGGAGCCAACTGTAGGCCACTTCGTGCTCTTCGACTTCCCAGAACTCCATTCCCGGGCCACATTTTGGATGCCCGGAGCCAACTGTAGGCCACTTCGTGCTCTTCAAGTTCCCAGAACTCCATTCCTGGGCATGATTTTGAATGCCCGGAGCCAACTGTAGGCCACTTCGTGTTCTTCTAGTTCCCAGAATTCCATTCCTGGGCCACATTTTGAATGCTGAGGCAGGCTGATGCTGCGGCCGAGGCAGGCTGAGGCTGAGGCAGGCTGAGGCTGAGGCCGAGGCTGAAGGCAGACTGAGGCTGAGGCTGAAGCAGACTGAGGCTGAGGCTGAGGCAGGCTGAGGCTGAGACTGAAGCAGGCTGATGCTGAGGCAGGCTGAGGCTGAGGCTGAGGCTGATGCAGGCTGAGGCTGAGGCAGGCTGAGGCTGAGGCCGAGGCTGAAGGCAGACTGAGGCTGAGGCTGAAGCAGGCTGAGGCTGAGGCTGAGGCAGGCTGAGGCTGAGGCAGGCTGAGGCTGAGGCTGAGGCAGGCTGAGGCTGAGGCTGTGACTGCGACTGCCGTTGCCGCTGCGACTGTCATCGCGAATGCGACTACGACTGCGAGAACAGCAGAATTCTACAACTGGATTTTCATCTGAATCTTAAGGGGAATGCTTTCAGATATGCTTCTACACATCGCTGTTAGGTTGCTTTGCCGGGATAATTGGACCCTGACCCCGCGGATCTGCGTGAGGGGTGGCACCGAATTTCAGAAATGTAGCAAATCCCCTGTGTTTTTGGACCCTGACCCCGCGGATCTGCGTGAGGGGTGGCACCGAATTTCAGAAATGTGGCAAATCCCTGTGTTTTTGGACCCTGACCCCGCGGATCTGCGTGAGGGGTGTCGATTTCGAGCCCCCCCAGCAATTCAGACAACGCGCCCAGGGGGTGCTAAAAATCCCGTTTGGGCCTCCCCCCCCCTCGCGCGGTCAATCAACTAGTTACAGTAACCAGCAAGAAGCAGAACTGTAACACTGGAAACTACAACCTACGACTGGTATAGGAAACTGCGAACCTCGCGCCTACAGCCTGGTGGCCCCACAAGGGGGCCGGCGGATCTCCAGGAGAGGGTCCTGGCGTAAGAAAGTGTATGTTTCCAATCGCTTTCCCGTGACTTTCGTGCTCCAGCCTTTTTCTGGCTCCTGAGACCCCACGACGGCCCACGAGGCTCGCCAGACCAGCCGAAAGGAACCCCAAGAGGGCCCCAATGCGGCCCAAGAGAGCCCCGGGACGGTCCACGGGGTCCACAGGGCGGCCCCATGCGCCCCTGGAGGACCCTCATGAGAGTCCCAAGACGGGGGAACTGAAGGGATCCCGGGGGCTCTCCCCGCCAAGACAGCGCCCATGCCTCACAGGATGCAGCCAGCATCCCCCAAGAGGCTCCCAGAATGTTCGAGTAGTGCCCCAGAGGGCCCTCAAGAGAGCCTGCCGCCGCCGCCGACAAGGGCGACGACGACGAAGACGAGGGCGACGGAGGCGACGGCGGCGACGACGGCGACGGCCGAAGGCGATGGCGGTGACGTCGGCGACGGTGGCGACGACGCCCACGTGTACGGGGACGGCAAGGACGACGACGACGACGACGATGACGACGACGGCGGCGGCGGCGGCGGCGGCGACGGCGACGACGACGACTTACTTTCGCAGGTTTTCGGGCGCTGGCAATGCCAGAATGTTGGCTGGGAGGGACCAGGGAATCGATTTGAAATGGAGCCTTAACGGACGACAGCGACGAGCGACGACAACGACAAGCCGCTACGACGAGCCGCTACGACACGCGTCAGCGACGACAGCTGGCGACGACGACGGCGTCGACGGAGAGCTCCTGGGGGTTTCTGGCGGTCCCTGGAGATGCCAGGGGGGGCCCCTGGGAGGTCTCCGGCGGTCTCCAGATGCCCCCGGACCCCCTCGAGAGGCTTCTGGAGGCTCTCTGGAGGCCCGCAAGACCCAGACACCCGGCGACTCGAAGAAATCGAGGCGAAGGTTTTTCATAGTTTCCGGCCTCTGGGCCGGGGCCCTTATTGGGCCTTGGGGCCGTCAAAAAACGAGGGAAGCGGCGCCTCGAAAAAATCGAGACGCGGGACGTCTGGGGACCTGTCCGACAGCCTCGGTCCTCGATCCTCGACGACGGCGGCGGCGGCGACAACGAGCCTCTGGAGGCCTGTGGGGGTTTTGGGAGATCCCCAGACAGTCCATTCCGATCCGATCGGTTCGATTTGATATCGAGTCCGGCTGGCCCGATCCGAATCGATTCCGATGTTCCAGCGATCCGATGCGGCCTTTTGCCTGCATGGCGCCGTTTTGCATGCCGCAGCCGATCCGATTCGACTTCGACTTCGTGCCGAAGCAGTCCGATTCGGCGCACGTTTCGATTCGATCCGATCTCCCGATTCGATGCAGGCTGATCCCGCCAGAGGCCTCCGAAGGCCTCCGCGGAGGCCTCCTGGGGCCGCCTCCTCTGGGGCCATGACCAAGCTGTCGAGGCATCTGGCCGACTCCGATGTTGGTCATGGCCCATGCCGGCCGTCGCCGATGAGCCAGGTCGATCCACGAGCTGACGTTATCCAGATCGACAGTGACCAAGATCGGCACCGAGGTTTCTGCGTTCAGTCTCAAGCCTCCTCAAGGTACGGGGCCCAAACATATACACCACCACCACCACCACCACCACCACCACCACCACCACCACCACCACCACCACCACCACCACCACCACCACCACCACCACCACCACCACCACCACCACCACCACCACCACCACCACCACCACCACCACCACCACCACCACCACCCACCACCCACCACACACCACCACCACCACCACCACCACCACCACCACCACCACCACCACCACCACCACCACCACCACCACCACCACCACCACCACCACCACCACCACCACCACCACCACCACTACCATCTCCCTTACCCCCTCCCTCTCCCAGGAAAGAGGAAAGGAATCTGAGGGTAGAGGAGGGAGGAGGAGTCGACGTGGTGGTGGTGTATATTCTTGGGGCCCCAGGGAGGCCGAAGACGTCGGTTCGCCAGCAAATCATGGTAGCCTGGTGTGCCCTCGCAATTCCGTCTTTAGGCCCGATTGCGCGTCGATTGGCGCCTGGGAGTCGCTGAGATCGCGCCGATTTGGCGTCGGCTGGCGCCGCTGTGCGTCGATCTGGCCTCGATGGGCGTCGGCCTGGCGTCGATTTGGCGTCGATCTGGCGTCGACTGGCGTCGCTTCGCAGGCGCCAACAAGATGGTACGGGACTCCCGTCCCGTAACAAGATGGTACGGGACTCGTGGGAGCCTCAGGCTCCCACGAGTTGCCGCAGACCGTCGGCGACGCTCCTCGGCAGGCGGCGAGCGACGGGCCGCGGCGGCGGGCCCAGCCTCGGCGGGCGGCCGCGCCGTCAGGGCGGCCGCCGCGCGGAACTCCATACGGCCGCGGGCAGCGGGGGCCGCCCCGAGTGGCTCGCGCTGCCGGGCGCCGCCCTCGGCCTTCGCCGCCGCCGCCTCCTCGCAGCCGTGGTCGTCCTCGCCGTCGTCGTCGGCCTCGTCGTCGTCGTCGTCGTCGTCGTCGTCGTCGTCGACCTCGTCGTCGTCGGCGTCGACCTCGTCGTCGTCGGCGTCGTGGTCGGCCTCGTAGTCGTCGTTGTAGTCTCGTCGAGCTCGTCGTTGCAGTCGTCGTCGGCGGCGGCGGTGGCGTCGGCGTCGTAGTCGTGCTCGTCGACGTCGCCCTCGTAGTCCTCGTGCTCGTCGTAGTAGTCGTCGTCGTCGTCGTCGTCGTCGTCGTCGTCGTCGTCGTCCTTGTTGTCGTCGGGGTCATCGTCGTATTCGTCGTCCTCGAAGTCGTCGTTCCTCGGTGTCGTCGTCTTCGTCGTCGTCGGCGACGGCGGCGCCGAAGAGGATGACGACGACACGGGCCAGCGTGTGCCTGAACAGGCGTACCAGAAGGATAACCGCCCGCGATTCACCCTGAGTCTGACTGGCCTCCGTCTCTCTTTCTTGCACCCAACTCCCTGGCGCACTACCAGACGTGTCGTTTCTGCCGCCATTCTCCCTCGCAGAGCAAAAAACGCAACAACAAACGCTCTAACACCGGGCCAACACCGGCCCGAAATACCCCGAGGTCCGATGGCAAGTGGCCATCGGGCCCGTCCGAGGACGGCGAGCAGTCGGGCTGAGAGTGCGTTTTTTGGTCGCGCTGGGGTTACTTGTGGCCGCGGCCGGACGTAGCTCGGAAAGAAAATTAGTCAGGATCCTCGGAAACTGGAGCATATATATATATATATATATATATATATATATATATATATACCAGTGGCGGGCTGTTTTTCAATCACAGGGCTTTTTGAGGGTCGGGGACGACGTCGGGGTGGTGTGGTGTATCCTTTTTTCCCCGTTCTCCTGGGGAAACAGCGGAAAATGTATACACCAGGATCCCGTATACACCAGAATCCGCTTTCCTGTGCGAGCTTCAGCGCAGGGACGAGAAAAGCGTCGGTGTGTAGAGTTCGGTTTCCCAGATCCTGTCCGAGACGAGTTTCTGTGTCCGATGCTGAGCGAGAACGGATCGGAGGACCCAGCCCCTTGGCGCTGTTGAGGACGTCGGGCGGGGGCCGCTTTTGAGAAGCCTTGGGCCTCTGGAGGCCCCGTCCCTGGCCCGTGGGCCAGCAGAGAACGGCCTGGGACGACGAGCTGGTTCTGCCGGATTGGGGTTGGGAGCTTCCGGGGCCCCATAGGTTTTGAGAGCAGCAGTAAGTCGGGCATGTCCCTTTACAGGAGGAGTATCCAAAAATAGTCAAAAATGGTCTGGGGACGATGTTTTGACTATTTTTGTCACTCTCGCACAGATCTAGGGGACAACCCGGAAGCCGTATCCTCTCTTGAATCCCAGAGTAGTCCTCGTTCCAGCGTCGTGGCCTGCGGTGAGGGGGTGGAGCCACACGCATCGAGATGCACAACTGCAGCCTGATGTCGTTTCCCTCTTTTCCCGGCGCATGCGCCCAGACGCTGCGCGCACGTGCTCCGGCCACCTGTGCCGCCCAGGGTCACAAGGTCCACCGTGCGCGTTCTTTCCTCAGGCATCGCTCGGGCGTGTGCATATGTTTTTACCTAAGCTTGTTCTGATAGGTTTCTAGTGGTGTCAAAAGAGAGCAGCAGATGACTCCACAGGGGGGTCTGGGCGGGTGCCGGACAGGGTGCCGCAGAAGTCGTTTTAAGCCAACAGTCACACACTTCGTGCTCTTCGACCTCCCAGAACTCCATTCCCGGGCCACATTCTGAATGCCCGGAGCCAACTGTAGGCCACTTCGTGCTCTTCGACTTCCCAGAACTCCATTCCCGGGCCACATTTTGAATGCCCGGAGCCAACTGTAGGCCACTTCGTGCTCTTCGAGTTCCCAGAACTCCATTCCCGGGCCACATTTTGAATGCCCGGAGCCAACTGTAGGCCACTTCGTGGTCTTCGAGTTCCCAGAACTCCATTCCCGGGCCACATTTTGAATGCCCGGAGCCAACTGTAGGCCACTTCGTGCTCTTCGAGTTCCCAGAACTCCATTCCCGGGCCACATTTTGAATGCCCGTAGCCAACTGTAGGCAATTTCGTGCTCTTCGACTTCCCAGAACTCCCATTCCTGGGCCACATTTTCAGCAGGGGCAAGAGCACGACGAGGAGGAGGACGAGCAAGACCAGGAGGACGAGGACGAGCAGGAGCAGGACGAGGAGCAGGAGGAGCAGGAGAAGAAGGACGAGCAGGAGGAGGAGGAGGACGAGCAGGAGGAGGAGGACGACCAGGAGGAGGAGGACGACCAGGAAGAGGAGGAGGAGGAGGAGGAGGGGAGGGGGAGGACTACCAGGAGGAGGAGGAGGAGGAGGAGGAGGAGGAAGAGGAGGAGGAGGACGAGGAGGAGGAGGAGGAGGAGGAGGAGGAGGAGGAGGGGGGGAGAGCACCAGGAGGAGGAGAACGAGGACCACCACCATATGCTTCTACACATCGCTGTTAGGTTGCTTTGACGGGATAATCCTCGGCGAGGACCATCGGGCACGGGGGAATGGATGATGGGCTTGTTTTCCACCACCACCACCACGGGGGTCTCCTCTCCCTCCTTCCCCCCTCCTCCTCCTCCTCCTCCTCCTCCTCTTTCGTCCTCCTCCTCCTCCTCCTCCTTCTCCTCTTCCTCCTCCTCCTCCTCCTTCTCCTCCTCCTCCTCCGCCTCCTTCCCCCCTCCAACTTGTGGTGGTGGTGGTGGTGGAAAACAGGCCCATCAATGGACGTCCGAGCGATGGCAAGTTCGGATGATCTCTTGTGAGGGGGTGCGCTTCCGCATTCCGTGCGTGACGGCCCCAGGCTGGGGCCCGTCGGCGCTGCCGCGCGGCCTCGCCGGACGCGGGGGCGGCCAGGAGAGGGGGGGACGTCACGGCCAGGGCCACGGCTCCCTCCTCGGAGCTCGTGGCCTTCTCTTCGTGCGGTCGGGCCGAGGTGGAAGAGCGAGGTTCAGAGCCCCGAATCAGGAGTAACTCGGGTCAGGGCTAACTCGGGTTCCTTTTTCGGGAATCCAAACCCGAGCTACCCCGGACCCGAGTTACCCTGGATAACTCGGGCGCCCAAGAGGTCGGTTTGGGGAGGGTGCGCTGATGTTCTCGTGCGTCCTGGGGGAGGGCGCCCCCGGATGTTCGTCAGTCTGGCCGGCGGAGGGCCTTGTGTTCTTGAAGGACGTTCTTCCGTCCTGGGTCTTGCCTTATTGCAATCCGTCCCTTGGGCCACCCCCCTAGGGCCGCGCGCGTGCCTCGGGCCACGACTCTCGTGGATCCCCCTCTTGGACGCCCCCCCTCTTGGTGGGCGCCCCCCGACGAGCGCGTTGTGCACGGCACGGGGCACGAGGCGGTCTAGTTCCATGGCGGGGGACGGCCCTGCAGCAGCTTACTCGCCCGCCACGTCCTGCGACGACCCTCCCAGAGATCCTGGCGTCTCGGGTTCTTCGAGCCGGGCATTTTTTCGCCAGGTGGCGGGCCCCGGGAACCTCACGGTTCGACCCAGCTCGAAAGCTGGCGCATAAGGATGGGGCCTGGGGCTCCAGTCGTGTTTTTTTTTGCGAGGCTCCACTTGTTTCGCGCCGTCGGATCTGAGCGTTTGGCGTCGCGAGCGCAACGCCGCGGCGTTGCTTGGTCCTGGCCTCCCGAGGCTCGCCTCGGGCCCGAGGGCCGACGGCAGAGCGCCGGCGCGCGTCGGAGAGCTGGCCCCGGGGAAGGGGTCCAGAGCTTCTGCAACCCCGTGTTTTTTCTTTAAACATATATATATATATATATTTATATCTGTATATATGTATATATACATACTTAAATGGTAAAAAAAATCGGTGTCTGGAACAGGATGCCTTTGTCCTCGATCCATGGAGAAAAATACAATGCAGCGCCCCGCCAGGCTCTGGTGGTGATTGATTCAAAAGCTAATCAACGACGCATGACGTAATCCCGTGTTGCGCAAGTCACGATCTCAGCGAGGTCCAGGCGCGTCGCACCCTTTGGACGTCCGCGGATTTTCTCGATCCCCTCCTGCGCTAAGGAACCTTCCATGAATGGGCCGGGACACCACGGAGACCTCGCCATTGGCGGGGATGGGGAAGAAGCGGGCGGTAGGGGCGTGTCAAGCAGATGAGTGATGAGTATTCGGTGTTGTTGGAAGGTACGTGACTTATCTGGATTCAGATGTTTGCACAATTTTCCATCTGACGCAAACGCTTCCTGTGTGCGTGTGTGCCACTCGCATTGCATGCGCCTGATTTATATACGTGCAGCCATCCGTGCAAAGCCGAGTGACGTAACTTGGAAGTGCCATAAGCAGTTTTTGGTGTGATGGGAGGTTGCTGATGCACATTTTTCGATGGATCTTGCCGACGACTTTCTTGAAGCCTCTGGAGAAACATGCAGCTTACAGTCTGCAACTTTTCGACGCTTCTGTGTGGGCCCGCCGTTTTGAACTGCACCGCTGGTGATTCGCCCAGAACGGCGGAGCAGGTCGCCAGATCAGTCCGTTCAGCGGACACGTCGCCTGATCTCCACCATCTCCTGGATGCTGGAGCCGACGCGTTTCGCCTCCCAGAAGGCTGGCGCGGCGCGGTACAGTCAAGGTGCTGAAATGAGGTTATGATGCTCCAACCTACTCTAGCCTTGATCACCCGAACAAGAATCGAACACCAAGAAAGTACCGAAACTTGAGGGTTTTCACGCGTCGGGCCCTGGGAGGCGATGCTCGTTCGACACCGTTTCGATACTTGTCTGGGTGCTCGAAACGATTTCTGGGATGTCGTCCTTAAGTGGGATGGGAGCAGCATAAATATGATGACCACTTTGGGCTCGGGAGTGTCGGGCCGAACGAAAGGGGGGGATAGGGAAAGGGGGGTTACGGAATCTGCTGCATGCAGCTGGTTTCGGCCCCGCCGCCGGGCCCATTCCTCGACACATGGCCGCCTCCCGGCGCCGGGAGGCGCCGGGAAAAGCAGCCACGTGAGCTGATTCTGACCCCCCCCCCCTTTTGCTATCCCTCGGGCCCTCCTCTCCTAAGGGTGACAGACTGCGTGGATTTTTTGGACCGGTCTCCAGTTATCGCGCGTCGAAGAACGCCGAGATTCGCGCGCTGATTCTTTTGAGTTTCCAGACGCGATCATCGCATCGTTTTGCGATCATCGCGAAGGGGGGGGATGGCCTATCCCCCCCCCTTGTCGCCCAGCCCGAGGGGGGCTCCGGTGGTGGGGCCGCTCCTCGGGATGCAGGTCGGGGGAGCCTGCGCGCGGCGGAGGCTCGCCGTGGCCAGGAGGGCCCCTGCGTTCCTGGCGCAGCGCTGCCGCGGCAGCACTGGGTCGGGCCTGTCCCTCGGCAGGGGGGATGCCTAGAAATAGGATAAAGTACTCCAGATTTCGTAATAAAAGGGAGGGGGTCTGGACCCATCGAAGACAAGCCATTTCAGACCCCCCCCCCGTGGGAGAACCCTCCACAACACCGTCCCCAGACACCCCCCCAGGCCCTCCAAGATAGCCTGGAAGAGACCCCCCCCTGAAATGAGTTCCCCTCCCTTTTATTACGAAATCTGGAGTAGCCTGGGGGCGATTTTTGGCTACTTTCGAGTACTTCTGGAGTCTTCCCCCCCGCGCTCTCTCTGGCGCCTGTGCACTCCAGCGTCGGCTTCTGGCCCGCTGGCGGTTATCTTGCGTGCTGCCCCATGCTCGATACGACCCGCTCTCTGGAATCGTCCTTGGAGCCGCAGAGCAAAAAAGTATTTCTGGAGTCTTGTTTGGCATTTGTGATTTCTCGTCCTGAATCCGCCGGTAGGGGGACATGCCCGAGCTAGTGGTATCACGATGACAGCACGTTTCGTCGCCCTCCCCCTCCCCCTCCTCTGCGGCCGCGCGTGCTGTCTTCAGGTTCGTATCGCGGTCGCAAGGCGACGCCCAGAAGCTTTCACGGCACTGCCCTTAGTGTGAGTAGACTTTTTCCCATGGCCCACTGAACTGAACTGAGCCCCCTCTCCCAGACCCCCGACGTCGTGTTTTTTTCCACAATATCGACCCCCAGGTCTGGACCCCTTCCTCAGGATCGTTCTTTGACGGTCCCGAGGCCCGGTGAGGGCCCTGGAGGCTGAAAATAGCAAAAAACCTTCCGTCGTGTTTTTTTCCCAGAGCTTGTTTTTTTTGACTCTAGCAAGTCTATTTGTATGGGCTTGGGGGGGTGGCTGAACCTGAAGCAAGCCGCAAATGACTTGCACCTGCGGAAATCCCGCAAGTCGACATGCACTATTCTTTTGAAGAGGGGCGAACGGGGGGCGGAGTGGGCGTGGGCGAACGCCATGCAAGTAAATTTGCTTGAGTCTAACATAAAGCAGGCTCCCAGCGCGAGGGGGTCTGGCGGCTGGCGTCGCCCGATCCTCCTCCCAGGAGGTGGGAGACCCAGACCCCCTTCGCAGACCTTGAGGTTGGCACCAGCACCAATATCGGCGGTGTGCCTCCACCGAAGGAAGATGATCTAGACCTCGGCGATGGTGGTAATATTCGGGCTTCCTAGATGGCCGGAATCTTAGCATCAACGCCAACATCTACTATATATATTACCTAGTGGAGCAGCCCCTTGTGATGGTGTTGCTGTTTATTTCCAAGCCTCCAACGCCTCGCGTTGCGAGGGAGACCCAGCCCCCCTGGCGCTGCGAACCAAAGATCACGACGTTTTTTTTGTTCTCGCTCCTTTTCGGCCTCCAGGGGCCCTTGCTGGGCCTCGGGACTGTCCCCAAGAACGATTCCGGACGATGCACTGGTCCCGGGGGAGGTGTCCAGGCTTGAGTCGGGCACGGCCCTGGTGACGATTTTTCTTGCTCTTATGTTTTTGTTTGTTTGTTTGTTTGTTTGTTTGTTTGTTTGTTTGTTTGTTTGTTTTGTTTATTTGTTTATTTGTTTTTTGTTCATCATTTTATTTTGTTTGGTTGGTTTGTTTTTTGTAATGGTGTTTATTTGTTTATTTTTCCTATCCCTTCCATTGTCCTTCAAATTCCACCTGTAGAAGGACATGCCAGACCTGAACTTCTGGGCGGTCGACGTGGTAAGATCACGACGCTGGGAGCTTTTGGGGAGGGCCCAGAGCCTCCTCTCTTCCCGCCTCCTCCTCCTCCTCCTGCTCCTCCTCTCTCCTCCTCAATCCTCCTTCCTCCTCCTTCTCCTCCTTCTCCTCCTCCTCCTCCTCCTCCTCCTCCTCCTCCTCCTCCCTCCTCCCTCCTCCTCCTCCTCCCTTCTCCCTCCTACGATCCCGCGGGATGCGGTTCGAGTCGCCGCCTGGGGCCGCGATGCCGATTCGATTCGATTCAGCTCGATCCGTCGGCACCGGCCGGGGCCAGCTGGAGCCAGGCGCGGTGATCCGATTTCGATGTTCGGTTCGGGATAACTCGCCGGCGATGCGATCCGTTTCCGATCCGACTCGATTTCGCGGTTCGATGCAGCTCAGGCCTGCCAGACCTCTCCGCGCCGTGGGCAAAGCCGCTGCGCAATGCACTCGACAGGCTTCGGCCTCTGGGGGCCCTCGCCGGGCCCCAGGGACGGCCCAGAACACGCTTCGGTGGCGATCCGATTTCGATTTTCGATTCGGGATAGCTCGCCGGCGATCCGATCCGTTTCCGATCCTAGCCGATGTCGCGCTCGATCCAGCTCCAGCCTGCTTCCTCCCAGCCCGCCCCCTCGTCGCCGCTTCGGCGGGGGGAGGGCGCGACACAAGAGTATTTTTCAAGTCGGGCATGTCTCCCTATAGGAGGAATATTCAAGAACAGTCGAAGCATTGTTAGGGGACGATTTTTTACTTTTTTAGAGTATTTAGGCTTACTTGTTTGACTATTTTTTGTTTTTCGTGCAGAATCTGGCTGTAGGGGGACATGCCCGACCTAAGAGTATTTGTAGTTGTGATCCTGCCGATTTTGTTTGCGCACGTCTTCGCTCATCCCGACGTGTTGCAGCATGCGCCAAGGCGTCTCTTCGTGGGGGGAACGCGAAGCGACACCACCACCAGCAGGCCCCCCCCACCCCCCCCAGTGAGGAGGATAACGCTGCCTCCCCGAGCTGGATATCGGACGTATCTCGAGCGGGGCGCCGCAAAACAGGGGGGCCACGTCACCTGGAGGACGACCCTGCGCGGGTCCCCGCGATGGTGGATGGGTGGCTGTGGAGTCGATCTTCTGTGATCCTGGGTCAGAAGGATCAAGCTGGGGGCCACGTCACCTGGAGGACGGCCCTGCCTGTGTCCTCGCGATGGTGCGTGGATGGTGGTGGTGGTGGTGGTGGTGGTGGTGGTGGTGGTGTCGATCTTCTGTGATCCTGAGTTAGAAGGATCAAGCAGAGGGACCACATCACCTGGAGGAAGGCCTGCCTTGTCCTCGCGATGGTGGATGGGTGGTGGTGGTGTCGATGTTCTGTGATCCTGAGTCCGAAGGATAAAGCAGGGTGACCACGTCGCCTGGAGGACGACCATGCTCGGTTCCTAGCCTGGTGGATGGATGGGTGGTGATGATGGTGCCGATCTTTTGCGATCCTGGGTCAGAAAGATCGTGGGCCGTGCAGCAAAAGGCAAGCCGAGTCCCGCCCTTCTCCTGTCTCTTCCCTCCTCCCGCTCCTCCCTCCTCCTCATCCTCCTCCTCCCTCCCTCCTCCTCCCTCCTCCTCCTCCTCCTCCTCCTCCTCCTCCTCCTCCTCTGCTGCTCCCTCCTCCTCTCCTCCTCCTCCCTCTCTCCTCCTCCCTCCCTCCCCCTTCCTCCTCCTCCTCCTCCTCCTCCTCCCCTCCTCCTCCTCCTCCTCCTGCTCCTCCTCCCTCCCTCCCTCCCTCCCTCCCTCCCTGCCTCCCTCCCTCCCTCCCTCCCTCCCTCCCCGCCGCCTCTGAAGAGGGGGAGGGCGAGGTGCCCCGCGCTGGCGATGACCAGCGCGGCGGATGGCTCGAGACCATGAAGCTGGCGGGCCCCGCGCCCGGCCTCCCCCCGCCTCCTCCTCTTCCTCGCCCTCCCTCCTCCTCCTCCTCCTCCTCCTCCTCCTCCTCCTCCTCCTCCTCCTCCTCCGCCCGCCTCCCGAACGCCAGGGGGCTCCGCAGATCCCAGACCACCCTCGAGTCGCGAACAACATGCATAACGGGAGGTTCTCGGCTGTTTTCGGCCTCCGGGGGGCCCTTGCCGGGCCTCTCGGGGCCGTCAACAAGACTACTCAGGAGGAAAAGCCAGTCCCGTCCAAAAATCACGGCGGGAGGTTTTCAGCTGTTTCGGCCTCGTGGGGCCCTTGCCTGGACTCGGGACCGTCAGAAAATTACTCAGGAGGAAGAGCCGTTCCCGGGGAAGGGGCCCAGACCTCTGGGGGTCGACGTGGTGAGAAAATCATGGCGCCGAGGGTCTGGGTCACCGCAGACCCCAGACAGGGCCGCATCCGGTGCGATTTGATTCGCCTGCGAGGGCCGCAGGGCTCGTTTCGATCCCTCCGATCCGACTCGATGCGATGTCGGTGGCATCCGATTCCGATTCGAGTGGACTTGGGATTGCGACTCAGAGTCTGCTGTCTCAATGGAGGCCTACTGGACTGCCGATTTCCGCCGATTCGACTTCTCCCGACTCGGATGCCGATTTCTGCCGATCTGGTTCATTTCGATCGCCGATCCGATTAATCGATTCGATTTTGGGCTCTCCTGGGGCCGCGATGCCGATTTGATTCGATTCGGTTCGATTCACCGGCATCGGCCAGGGCCAGCCGGAGCCAGGGCGGCGATCCGATTTCGATGTTCGATTCGGGGTACCTCCCGGGCTATCCGATCTGTTTCCGATCCGAGCCGACTTTGCGGTTCGATGCAGCTCAGGCTTGCCAGACCTCTCCGCGCCGTGGGCAAAGCCGCTGCGCAATGCACTCGACAGGCTTCGGCCTCTGGGGGCCCTCGCCGGGCCCCAGGGACGGCCCAGAACACGATTTCGGATGAAAAGCTACTCCTGGGGACCAGAATTTTTTTTGTGGGCCGACCTCTTTCGTTCGACTGTTTTTTCGCGCCCTTGCCAGGCCCCAAGGACGGGGGACTCCTTCTGAACTGAGGAAGCGGAAGACAAGCCGAGGAATAACCCAAGCCGAGGAAAAATTCAAGCCGAGGAAAATAAAGGAAAATCAGCCAGAATTGAGGAAAAGCCCAAACCGATGAAACAAACAAATCAATGAGCAGCTCAATCCGAGGAAGACCCAAACCGAGGAAGACCCCAATCCGAAGAAAACCCACATTGAGGAACAAGCGTAATAAATCCTAGTGGAAGACCATTCGAATCCGATAAGCATCCAATTATAATGGCTTGGGGTCCTACATGGGGGTTGGGAATTCGAGGATGAACGAAGGCACGCCGAGGGACAACCCAAACCGAGGAAACAACCCCAACTGAGGAAAATATTCAAACCGAGGAAAACTCAAACCGAGGAAAACCCAAACGGAGACACAAGCGTAAGGAATCCTATCGGCATTCTATTTGGATCCCATGAGAGTCCTATTGGGACCACTAGGGATTACAGGGGGGGGAATTCGAGGGAAACCAACGCGCGCCGAGGGCAAACCCAAACCGAACAGACACCCAAATTGTGGGACATCCAAACCGAAGAACAAGCGTGAGGAATCCCATTAGAATTCTATTCGGATCCTATTAGAATGGAACTGTTAGGGGTCCTACAGGGTTTTGAGGATCCAAGGGGACGACGGCACGCTGAGGACACAAACACGTCGAGGAACACATCCAGACTGAGTAAAAACACAACCGAGGGACATCCCACCTGAAGAACAGGTCTGAGGACTCCACTTGAAATCCTTTCGGAATCCTATAGGAACCTGATTGGAATCGTTAGTAGCAAGGAGCAACATCGGTTTTGAGGATTTCTGATGCGAGTGCTAGCTTTACTTCCACCTTGGTGCTCCCACCCTCATTCCTCTCCCTCTTCCCTTCATCCTCCCTTCTTTCCTTCTCTCCCTCTCCTTCCTCCTTTCCTTCGCTTGTTAACAGATGGTGCTGTGTAGGAAGAGGAGGCGGAGGAGCAGCACGCCCAGCACCAAGGAACAGGTTTCAAACCGGCGTGGGGAAGGGGCCTTGTCTGACAGAGGGTGTTGTGCAGCAGCGGCGGCCTGCACAGGAGGGGGGGCTAGAACGACTACTCTTCCACTCTATTCGCCACGTGGCAGCGCTCAGCGGGGACCGAGCACGTTCCACTCCAGGATGCGCCACGTGGCAACGCCGCGGGGGCAACGCGGCGCGGAGCGACGCCTGGCGGGGAGCGCTGGACGTGCTGGGGGCCCATGTTTCGTCACGCGGCAGCGCCGCGGGGGCCATCAGCAAACACCGAGCCACTCCTGTAGGGGGACCGAACCGACGACACGGAGCACAAACATAACTCATGAGGGGAAAAACACACAGACACAATTAATCTTCGATTCCCCCGAACATATGGGAAACTATGGGAAGTGGGGGGGAAGACAAAAACCCAGAAAACATGGGGAAAATATGGGGAACATCTCTATTTGTGTATATTTCTTTGTGTGTCCCGGGGCCCCTTCAACAACAGCCACCCGGAGGCCCGCGCGGACGCCTCGCCTCGGCGCCGGGGCCGCCGCGTCGTGCTCCCCCCCCCCTGAGCGTCGGCGCGCGCGCAGCGCGTTTTTTAGCGCCCTCGGGGGGCGCGCCGCGCCGGCCCGCCGGCCACGCCGCGGCTTCGGCGCGCGGCAGCGCTCCGCGGGGGGCCGGGGCAGCCCACGAGCGGGGCGGGGCCCTCCTGCCTCTCCCTGCCTCTCCCCTCCTTCCCCTCCTGCCCCTCCCCTCCTTGCCTCCCCCTCCTCCCCTCCTCGCTTCTCCTGCCTCCCCTCCTCCCTCCTTCCCCTCCCCTCCTCTCTGCCTTCCTGCCTTCTCCTCCCGCCTGTCCTCCTCCTCCTCCCCCTCGCCCGCAATTTGCTGCAATGCGATGCAAGGTATTGCACATGCAATGCACATACAACGCAGTACAATGCAACGCAACGCAACAGGACGCACTGCAATGCAATGCAATGAAACACAATACCATGCACCATTACCCCAGTGCGACCCTACCTAGAAGTTGGAGCCCCTAGGAAAGCAGCATTAGTTGCTATGCTATGCTATGCTATGCCATGCCATGCTATGTTGCGCTATGCCGTGCTGTGCTGTGCTGCGCTATGCTATGCTATGCTATGATATGCTGTGCTGCGCCATGCTATGCTACGCTATGCTATGCTATGCTGTGCTCTGCTATGCTAAAGCTCCGCTCGTTCCGAATCGTGCTCTCGCTGCAGCGCTGGCCCCATTTCCGCGCTTCCGCTCGTTCCGAATCGTGCTCCCGCTGCAGCGCTGGCCTCATTTCCGCGCTTCCGCTTGTTCCGAATCGTGCTCCCGCTGCAGCGTTGGCGTCATTATTTCCAGTGCCATGCCACGGCATGGTTATTGGTCCTGCAAATCGATCCCAAAATCTAGAAAATGACCCCCCCGAAAAAACTTCGGAAGTGATTCCACATTCGGTGTCGATCTGTTAATTCTTTGGACCGCAGAAGCCCCCCAACTTTGGGCGTCGCCACGCCATGCTATGTCATGCTACGCGTTGATCTTCAACACCATGCTATGCCATGAAATTCTGTGCCATGCTGCGACATCCGACTGTGCGAATAGAGAGGTAATATATGCCATGGTAAGGGTGGGAGGGAGGGGTAGGACGTCAGATACGACGCGAGCGCACCTAGCTTGCCCTTTCCCCCTCCTCCCTCTCCCCTGCTCCCCCGCGTCCCTCCTCCCTGCAATATAACGTACTACTCATCCCTCCTCCCCCTGCCCTCCTTCCCCTCCTCCCTCATCCCCCCTCTCCCTCCCCTCTTCCCCTTTGCCCACAATTTATTGCAATGCAATGTGCTGCAAATGCAATTCAAATGCAACACAGTGCAATGCAATGCAGCGCAGCGCAACGCAATGCAACGCAACGCAATGCAATGCAATGCAACGCAGCGCAACGCAACGCAACGCAGCGCAACGCAGTGCAACGCAACGCAATGCAATGCAATGCAATGCAAGGCAATACAATGCAATGCAATGCAAATGCAATGTACCTGCCACGCCATGCATTGCTATGCAATGCAATGCAATGCAATGCAATGCAATGTAATGCGCTGCGCTGCAATGCAACGCAACGCAACGCAACGCAACGCAGCGCAACGCAACGCACCGCAATGCAATGCAATGCAAGGCAATGCAATGCAATGCAATGCAATGCAAAACAATGCAATGCAATGCAATGCTAATGCAATGCCATGCAATGCAATTCAATGCAATGCAACACAGTGCGCCCGTCCGCACGTCTGCACGCCCGCCCGCTCGCCCGCCCGCCCGCTCGCCGCGCGCTTCCCATCACTTCCATTCTATTCCACTCTGTTCCACTCCATCCACTCCTCCCTTCCATTCCATTCCATTCCGTTCCGTCACGCTCCTCCCCTCCCCGCCCCGCGGTCATTCCAGGGCACAGAAAATCATTCTGGGCCTAACGGTGTGCATCCTCAAAAAATGCACTGGGAAGGGCTGGTTGGCTGGTTGGTTGGCTGGCTAGTTGGCTCTCCAGTTGCTGGGTGAGCCGGGTCCAGAGGCCAATTTTCGCACACCCCTCACACGGATCGCGCCCCAGGGGCCAGAAATAATTTTTTTCGAGCGGAAATAAACAGTTCTTGACCGTACTATAGCCTTTTTTTCCCGAAGCAAGTGGCATGCGTGCCCTGGCTCTTGCACCGAGGAGCTGCGAGGGACAAGAGGCTTTGGCTTCCCTCCTCCAGGAGCTTCCTTCTGTGGCCAGTGGCGGCGTGGAGGTTGAGCGACGAGCGAAGGAGCGACGACGACGAACATGAAGAGGTCCGAGCTCTAGAACCGTAGCTGTGCAAGAGAATCGCACGTTTTTTTTTGGGGGGGGGGCCCGCCGCGACTCAA